GAAGTCTCTCTGACTGCTGGCTGAGAAAAGCATACTGCTGAGAGAAACGCGCTCCTGAGAGACACGTGCTTCTGAGAGAGAGACACTGAGAGACACGCACTGCTGAGAGAAAGACTGAAAGAAACTGTTGGCTGAGAGACAGCGGGCTGAGAGAGACTGAGTGTTGTTCCTGAACTTGAATTGTAGCCTGTTGCTTCCCTAATAAACCCCATAATCTGTGAGTTCTGCGTGGCCACTGCAGCAAATTATCGAACCCAGCAGAGAGGTGGTGGGTGCTGCAGGAGGACCGGTTGGTGTCAGGGTTGATGAAAGGGCTGGAGGGAGGTAACATGTCTGGCCTCACAGGAATAGGCCTTGGGCTATTGGTGGTGATTCAGTCTTCCTCTTGTGGGGTTAGAGGAGGTCAGAAGATGCAGCCTCCCTGCCCCTTTGGCAGTTGGCGTCAGAAGTGGGATTTGTTGCAGTGGCTCCAGACTCACAGAAGTATGGGATATTGTAAAAGAAAAAGGGAAGGGGCCTGGAAAGTGAAACTTTGGATTCTTAGATGATTACTTTGGTTGGTGTTACCTCTTAAAGGAGATTATTGATCCAGAGGCTAGGTCACACTGGTTATACCCAGCCAAAGGCCCAAGGCTGTATACATAGAATGGGAAGGTAATCAAGGTGAAGAGATGAACCTGGAATGTCTTAAGAAGGATTATGTGTTTTGGATTTTGTGTTTATCTGAATGTACTATGGATATTGAATGTTCTCTTACCTGCTTGTACATTAGAAATGATTATGGAGTATGGATAATGGAGAACGTCTCAGTCTGCCTTCAGCCAATACTTGATTGGATATGTTAAAAGGGGTAATAGAATTTGCCCAGAAGAAACACAGGCTTTTGTTTCAAACCTGTGTGTAGAATATAGGGGACTTAGGTAGAAAACCTGAGCTCCACCCAGCACTACTGAGGAAACAGAAGATTTGCATTTGAATAAGGACCTGAAGAGGAAAAAAAAAAGACTTTGGCTTTTTGAATTCCGAGCAAGCAGACAGGTTTTGGGTGCATGGAGACAGGAAAATCATAGTCCACGAGAGAAACCCCTTCCAGGACTGAAAGTTAAAGGAAGCCAGCAAGTAGTAGGCTCGTATGCTGCTCTCTTGGGACCACCTGAGTCCACCTGAGTAGAAATGGGAAAGTGCAGCAAAAAAGAAATGGGCTGAATTTGGTACTCTTTGACCTAGGCCACAGAGGCTGGGGATGAGAAGAAGGGCTGGCTGGTCTGAAATGCAAGGAGTTGTGAGCCTACAGGCATTGAAATAGTCCCTGATGACTGAGGATGTAAGAGAAGGTGCTGGCTGGTCTGAAGTGAAGGAAGAGTACGACTCCCAAACTTAGCAGCTGGTACCCATGACCTAGCTGGGATGGCTAGGGCTGAGCTGATCAGAACCCGACCAAACGAAGAGGAAGATGTTTGGCACTGAGCTGGTGTTAAGTTGCTGGAATTTAATGGCTTGCGTGGGGCCAAAAGCATGGATTTTGCTTGTTTATGGATGCAGATACCTGAAGTTTCCAAGCAGAACAGAAGATTTTCCAGAGAGAAAGGAACATGCTTGTCTCCTCAGAGTACTAGTGTGATTGTTGTTGTTGTTGTTGTTGTTTGCCATCGAGTCGGCCCCGACTCATAGCGACCCCTCCTTGGGTTTCTGAGGCAGTATCACTACGGAAGTAGGAATGCCCAATCTTCCTTCCGAGGAGTGGCTGGTGGGTTTGAACCGCCAGCCTTCTGGTTAGCAGTCAGGTGCCTTAGCCACTATGCTACTAGTGTGATAGGGATGGGCAAATTAGAAATTAGGTATTTAAAATGGGGGAAGATAAAGGGATGAAGTGGCTGGCTTACACGCTTTCATGGGTGAGGTTATTCTTAAACTGATGGTGAAGGAAATGTTAATTTTTGAAGTACAAAAGGGATAATGGCTAGAAAAGCCAGGGGTGGTACGGTGTAGCAAATTATGTGTAGTGTGGCTTTTCTAGCCATAAGTCTTTGTAAACTCTATGGTAGAATTTGCAGAATGAAGAAAACCAAAGGTGCATGGAAACTATTAGTCCAAGGGACTAGTAGACCATGTGATCCTCAACCTATATGACCATGAGACCAGAAGAACTAGATGGTGCCCAGCTACCACTGTCAACCACTTGGAGGGGGATCAGTACAAGAGATCCTGGATAGAGTGGGAAAACAAAGTGGAACAAAACTCAAAATCATAAAAAAAAAAAAAAAAAAAAAGAGAGACCAGGTTTACTGGTCTGATAGACCTCAGATTATGGCCCCTAGTTAACCTTTCAGGTCTGGAGTTGAACTCACTCCTGTGTCTTCCAGCCAAATAATAGACAGGCATATGGGCTGAACATTTACATTCTTCGACATTTACATCCTCAGCATTTACTCCTTGGGGCGATCAATGATGGGAGAACAGAAGGGCAGTGTTTGCATAGGGAAATAGCTAGGGGGACGGGAGTACATGGGAAGGAAGGACACAGGGAAGAGGAAACTACAGGGAGAAAGTGAGAAGACAGCTGTTCCATTGTGGGGAATGGTGGTCAGTGTCATGAGACAAAATGTGTATGAACTACTGTATGGAAAATGAATTTGCTCTGTAAGCTTTCACCCAAATCACAATAAAAAGTAAAAAACAAAAAGTTCAGTATCCAGTAAGTTCAACATTTTTAATGGAAAATTTCTAGCAGTATAAACAAAAAGGTTAGGATGAATTCCTTTACATCGTCACCTACTAAACCACTTCTGGCTGATCTTTTCTTCATACCTCTACCAACTCTCCCCTCCCCTGATTATTTTGAAATAAATCCCAGGTATCATTCCATTTATTCATAAATATTTAGTTTTCATCTTTAAAAATTAAGGACTCTTTATAAATATAACCATAATACCATTATCACACCTTTCAAATTCAATGTTAATTCCTTACTATCTTTCAGTATCCTGTCAGTATTTACAATTTTCCCAGTTTTTTATCTTTCATCTTTTTACTGTGTTTTGTTTTTAATCAAGATTCAGTGGGATAGTTATCTTATAGTTGATTGATATATTTCTTAAGTCTCTTAATCTATAGGTTCCAACCATTTAAAAAAATATTTTTTTGAAATTTATTTGAAGAAACCAGGCAATTTGGTAGAGTTTTCCCCAATCTGGATATAATCATTCCCTGCACATTTTTGAGATCTAATGGTTTGATCATATTTGAGATCTTATTTCTACAACTGTGACAGTCGATTTTTCCCATGACCTGATACTTAACAGATTTATTTCAAATATGCATCATGCATACAAACACTATCTGATTATTTTCTGTTGTAGTTTTAGCCCCATAAGCACCTTCTTATTTCTCGTGAGACTCTGTTTCTAGCTCTTTGAATGAAAGGTGTTTACTGTTCCACAGTAGTAGAACCTAAGTAGGTTTTTTAAAATTAATATCTACTGACTAGAGATGCCATTCTTGGGTGCTGTGGTCTTGACTCCAACTCACAGTGACCAGTGTGACAGAATGAACTGCCCCAGAGGGTTTTCTTGGGTACAGTCATCACACAGGCAAATTGCCAGGTCTTTCTCCCACAGAGCTGCTGGGTACATTTGAACTGCCAATTGTGCGGTTGTCAGTGGAGTACGTAAACATTGGACCACCAGGGCTACTTGACTAAGATGATGTCTCCATATACCTATGACCTCTGCAACTCTGAAAACCTCACTTTCCCATTGACTGCAACTTAACAGATTTGATAAAGAACCTAAATTTTCTCAACTGGAAACTGAAGCCAGACTGCTTTGGTTCAGGACCCAGCTCCACCAAATCCTTTCCAGTTGTGTAACCTAGCAAGGTACTTAATAGTATTGTGTCTCAGTTTATTTATCTGTAAAATGAAAATAATAGCATATACCTCAGGGTTGAGGGGAGAATTAAATGAATAAGATGTGTTCATCAATTAGAGCAGCACCTGACATATAGCACTTTTATCTTTGTCATTCTTATCAGATAAAATTGTTTGGGTAACAGCCATTGTAATTGTTGTTGTTGGGTGCTGTCACGTTGGTTCTAACTCGTAGTGACCCTTGTACAAGAGAACAAAACACTGCCCAGTCCTGTACCATCTTCACAGTCGTTGCTGTGTTGGAGCCCATTGTTGCAGCCACTGTGTCAGTCCATCTCATTGAGTCTTCCTCTTTCTTGCTGACTCGCTCCTTCACCAAGCATGATGTCATTCTCTAGGGGCTGGTCCGTCCTGATAACATGTTCAAAGAACATGAGACGAAGTTTTGCCATTTTCACTTTTAAGGGGTATTCTGGCTATACTTCATCCAAAACATATTTGTTCATACTTGTGGCCATCCATATTCTTTACCAACCCCATAATTCAAAGGCATCAGTTCTTCGTCAGTCTTCCTTATTCTTTGTCCAGCTTCCGCATACATATGAGGCAATTCAAACTACTGTGACTTGGGTCAGACACACTTTATTCTTTAAAGTGACATCTTTGCTCTTAACACTTTAAAGAGCACTTGTGCAGCAGGTTTGCCCAATGCCGTATGTCCTTTGATTTGAGTCCTCCTCCAATCCTGATGCCATGTTCTTCTTCATTGTTGCTATATGATGAGAAGGATAACACCAACATTTCAGAATTCATGTACTTTTATATATCTTTATTCCATCCCTCTCATTTTATGGTTGAGGTAACAGATCCAAAAAGGTAGAGTTACTTCTCTAGGACTCTGTAGAATTACAGAAAGCTAGAGGATATGAACTCAGATCTCCCAGCACACTTAGCCAGAGTACTTTACACTAAACTTAGCTAGATAGTTCAGCTGAGCTGATACTTCTTAACAGGGAGATACAGTGTTTGTCATAACTGTCTGGTTGGCTTCTTTGGGTTCATTGAAATTGAGCTTTCATATTTAATGAATTAACTCTAGTACTAAAATATCGGTGTCATTGCTTTCTTCTAGGTTGCCAGCATACTTTGTTGTTCCCACGTCTCTTCCTGAAGAGGATATTCCACACTTTCAGGGTCACGGCATACCAGTAAGTGCATACGGAACCCCTGAGAAGCATGGCTTGGTCCTTGGCCCATCCTGGTAAAATTATCTTCTTTAAAACCCTTTGGCTTTGGTTCATAAGAACTTCACTTCAGTTCAACCATCATCCAAAAATATACTCAGGACTCCCCTGAGATGGTGCTGAAGCCTCTTACACATGAGGCTCTCTGGGACAGAGTTCTAACATTTTCACAGATGCACTTCAGTTTTTAACAGAGACGTCTTGAAATAGCTTTAAGAGGATTACAGTTCTGTCTAGTGTTGAGAGCCTGATTTAACACCTAAATCATTTTGAAGCTGAGCTGATTGCTCTAAGTGAAGTAGGACTTAAGATTCCTTTTGGCTTCACTATTAATCTTTGTAGGGGCGTGGTCAAGCTTTCTCCCAAAGACAACATAGAGTGCTTACTTAGTTTTCACAGGAAAAAATAGGATGGGAGCCATATTTAATATGTCACTGATCAAAGAAAGCAAGACTCTGGCAGCTATTCCAGTTTCTAACTGCTGGTTGAGAGTTGCCAAGCCTGCAGGGAATTTAGTAAGCAATGAGAATTACAAATAAATGCTGTGCTGTGCACAGGGCTAGTTCACCAAAAAGGTGACTCCCACATGGGAGGAGGAAAGTTTCAACAGCAGTCACGTACCCAGGAACCCATGGAGCCAGATGAGTAATGAGGGTGCCCTTGCGTTGGACCAGAGACCCTCTGCCGCGTCTAGAGGGCAGCTGTTCTTCAGCGCCAGCTGGTTTGGGCCACGTGGGAATAAGAGCCTGGTGTGGCCAGATGGTCTTTTTTTTTTTTTCCCCCCGGGAGATGCCAAAAATAAGAATTTTTATGTGAGTTTTCCTGATTTCTAAATATGTATTAACTAATTTAAAAAAAAAAACATGTCTTTGGGCTGTACTTTGCTCATTTCCTACCAGTTTACAACCTTTGATTCTGAGCAGTGGTTCTCAAACTTTTTGGTTTCAGGACTCTTTATATCTTAAAATTATTGAGGTTCTCAAAAAGCTTTTGTTTATGTGAGTTTGTCTGTTGATTTTTGCCACATTGAAAATTCAAACTAGAAATAATTTAACATTTATTTACATAAATAATAAAATTTGCTCCATGTTAATATAAATAACATTTCTTTCTTTTTTCTTTTTTGTGATTTGGGTGAAGATTTACAGAGCAAATTCACTTTCCGTACAGCAGTTCATATACACTTTGTCTCATGACATTGACCACAGTTTACCACAGTGCAACAGCTCCCCTCCTATCTCCTCCCCACAGTTACCTCTTCCCAGTGTCTATCCCTCTGTGGGCTCCTGTCCCCTGAGCTGTCTCCCTGTGCATAAGCAGCCCTTCTTTCTCCCATGATTGCTCTCTCAAAGGAGTGTATCTACTTGAGGTAAATGTTCCAGACCTGAAGGGCAGCTAGGGGGCCATAATCTCAGTGGTTCCACCAGGCTCTATCAGACCAGCAAACCTGGTCCCCCCCTTTTTATTTTTCTCCAAATGATTTTGAGTTTTGTTCCACATTGTTCTCCCTCTCTATCCAGGATCTCCTACATAGATTCCCTTCCAAGTGGATGACAGTAGTAGCCAGGCACCATCTAGTTCTTCTAGACTTATAGTCGTATAGGCTGCAGATCGGATGGTGTACCAGTCACTAGGACTAATTGTTCCCATGAATTTTTGGTTTTCTTCATTCTTCTTGGGTCTGGACTAGGAGAGACCCATCATTGCATTTAGATGGCAGCTTGCAAGCTTTTAAGATCCCAGTCGCTACTTGCTACAGTAGGAGGTGGAACAATGTTTTGTGTAGTATATTATGCCAATTGGGCTTGCTGTCCTCCGTGAGTATGGTCCCAAGACCCCGGGTTCAACTACTCGGTCCCTCTGGGTAGCTGGCTGTGACCAAGCCGTGACTACAACCTTGCCCCTTGTCAGCTCTACTATCACCTGGGAATTCAGATCATACACATAAAGTTATAGGACCACTGTCTGCCAACCCTATACATGTTCTTAGGTGCACTCCCCACTTCGTAGACATACCTAATATTTCAGCCTGTCCACACATCTATCCACCCATCTGCTCGTGTTTGCCTTCACTGACCATGCCGTACTATATGCTCAAAAGGGTTCATCTTTGTTGTCTGTACTTCCCATGTACCTCTCTATGTCTTTCTCTTCCTCAGTGCCACTATATTGATCACTCACATTTGGTACATTGCCCTTCTCTTCACCCAAATCAAAACTTATCTCTGTCTATCTAACAGTATTCACTACCCTCCCCTCCCACCCCTGGTAACCAACAAAGAAAATGTCCTTCCATAGATAAGTGTTTCCTTGACTTTTACAATAACGGACTAATACAGTATTTGTCCTTTTGTGATTGACTTATTTCACTCAGCATAATGTCCTCCAAGTTCATCCACATTATGCCGTGTTTTGCAGATTCTACATTATTCTTTAGCGTTGCATAGTATTCCATTGTGTGTATGTACCATAGTTTGGTTATCCATTCCTCAGTTGATGGACACCTAGGTTGTTTCCATCTTTTGGCTATTGTAAATAGTGCCACAATGAACATGGGTGTGCATAGGTCTGTTCTTGTCATGGCTCTCACTTCTTTAGGATATATACCTAGTAATGGAATAGCTGAGTCAAATGGTATTTCTAGTTCCAGCTTTTGAAGGAATCGCCATACTGCTTTCCACAATGGTTGTACATTTTACAGTCCCATCAGCAGTGTATGAGAGTCCCAATCTCTCCACATCCTCACCAGCATTTGTTGTTTTCTGTCTCGTTGAACTTTGCTACTAGTGCTGGAGCAAGATGGAATCTAGTTGTTGTTTTGATTTGCATCTCTCTAATAGCTAATGCTCTGGTAGAATAATGCCTAAGGCACTTGACTGCTAACCAGAAGGCTGGCGGTTCAAATCCACCAGCCACTCCTCGGAAGGAAGGTTGGACAGTCCTACTTCCGTAGTGATACTGCCTCAGAAACCCAGGAGGGGTCACTATGAGTCGGGGCCAACTTGACAGCAAATAACAACAACAACAATAGCTAATGATCGTGAGCATTTCTTCATATGTTTGTTGGCTACCTGAATATCCTCCTTGGTGAAGTGTCTATTCATGTCTTCTGCCCATTTTTTAATTGGATTGTTTGTCTTTTTGTTATTGAGGTGTTGGAGTTTTCTATAAATTCTAGAGATAAGTCCCTTGTCAGATATGTCATTACCAAATATTTTTTCCCAGTCTGTGGATTCTCTTTTGACTCTTTTGGAGAAGTCTTTGGAAGCACATAAAAATTTAATTTTTAGAAGATCTCATTCATTTAGTTTCTCTACTGCTGTTTGTGCATTTTGAGTTATACTTGATAGTCTATTTATGCCATATATATGTTGTTTTTAAAATTAATATTTTTAAAGTTTCTGTTTTAATTTCTAAGGTAGTAAATACTGATAAATAAACAGAAGCTCTTTTGGGTCCTTAATAATTTTTAAAAGTGTAACCTACTGCTGTCAAGTTGATTCTGTTGAATAGTGTAGAACTGCCCCACAGAATTTCCAATATGGTAGGTGTTTATGGAAGCAAACTGCTGTATGTTTCTCCTGTGGAGCTGTCGGTAGGTTCAGAGCAGATGGTGAGTTTGAACTGCCTGCTTTTCAGTTAGCAGCCAAGCACTTAACCACTGTGCCACCAGTGATCCTTAAGAGTGTGAAAGGATCCTAAGACCACAGAGGTGGAGCCATTGATCTGTGAGATTATGTATACGTATCATTCATCCCAGCACCCAGCAGATGCTGAGCGCCCATACCATAATTGCTAACAGACAGCAGCGGAACCCCTTTATCAGAGAAACGGTACATATTCCAGCAACAGGAAAAAACATGTGCCTCTTGCTAAATCATGAAAGTGTCTGCTATTAGCAGAAACTATGCTTGTTGTCTATTTAATGTTACAAATAAAGAATAGAAAGGGAACTGCCTGTTCTTTCCCCTAGTACCTCAAACGAGGTGAGAAAGTTATGATTGGAGATTATCATTACACATGCCTAAAATGGAAAACGAGTTATGGTTGCATGTCAGAAAGTCCTACCCTTTGTGCCCTAGGAGAGGACATAAAAAGGATTGTTGTTGTTAGGTGCTGTCGAGTCAGCTCTGACTCATAGTGACTCTTTGTACAACAGAACGAAACACTGCCCAGTCCTGTGCCGGCCTCAGTAATCCTTGCTACACCTGAACCCCTCGTTGTAGCCACCATGTCAGTCCATCTCATTGAGGGCCTTCACCTTTTTTGTTGACTGTCCACTTTACCAAGCATGATACCTTCTCCAGGGAATGATCCCTTCTGACAACATGACCAAAGTAGGTGAGACGAAGTCTAGCCATTCTCTCTTCCAAGGAGCATTCTGGCTGCACTTCTTCCAGGACAGATTTAGTTAAGGATTAATAGTTAAAAACACTTAATTCATAATTTATAATCTGTTGCCCAATCATGACTAAAGTATCTCCCCTTTGAGTGAGCTGTACTGATTAGGTGAGCAAGGTTGCTTGTGCCTTCAAAATACCATCTTTGGGCTTCCAGCCAAACAGAAGTTTGAACTGAAGGCATATGAACTGAACATTTACATTAGGTAGATACACTCCTTGCAGAGATCAGTCATGGGAGAATAGAAGGGCTGTGTATGCACAGGGAGACAGCTCAGTGGGCAGAAGTGCATGGGAGGGAAGGACACAGGGAAGAGGTAACTATGGGGAGGAAGTAGAAGGGGACCTGTTGCATTGTGGGAAATTGCAGTCAACGTCATGGGGCAAACTGTATGTGAGCTGCTGTATGGAAAGTGAATTTACTTTGTAAACTTTCACCCAATCACGATAAAAATTAAAAAAAAAAAAGCCAATGCTATTAAAAAAGAGAAAGAAAAAATACCACTTTTGGTAGAGGGCTAACAGCTGTGTGGTGGTTTCTGAATATTGTCTGGCTGGCATGACACTGGAAAGGGAGTATGAGAATAGCCAAAGGCTCTTTGATTTGTCTAACATTTTCACCTCGTGAATCAAAGAGCACCTTGGCCCAGAGAGGGGGGTGGGTTCTTTTTTTTTCCCAGTTCCTAAAGCTTCCCTCTGTCTTCTCCATGGATCGGTCGATCGTCTCTTCCATTTCAGTCGGCATCAGCTCCCATGCCCAGAGCTTCAGTCCTGCCTTCGTCTCCTAAGCTTTTGAGCCTCATTTTAGGTGCCTCTGAATATCTCCACACAAATGTCCTATTGGCACTAGACACCCAACATAAGCAACACTGATGCATGCCATCATCTTCCCCTCAGACTCAAACAGGGTCCTCCTGACTTTCTAAGCCTAGTGCGGAGTGTCTCCTGTGTTGGTGTGCTGGTCTTTACTCTCCAAGCCCAGGGTGCTGCCCGTATTTCCAATGTGTGCTTTAGAAAAAGACGACCGCTCGAGTTTTGATATAAAAGCTGACAAAAGGTGTTTTGATATTAAAGGACAGACTTGGCAAGCATGAACTTTTGTCCTTCTCCTTCATGCTGTCTGAGCACAGATGGGAAATCTAGGAATATTGAACCATTTTCTTAAGGAAGGCAGCCACTTGCTCTGAGTGGTATGGTGGAAAGACTGGAGGAGCTTGGGTTCCTAATGCCTCATGGGGGCTGCTCAGCAGTCGGGAACTGCCGACCTCTGGACCTCTTGATGCAGGAGCAGAGTAATCACCCTGCTAGCTTCAGCCTCTATTAGGTTTCTGTTACCTGCAGCCAAATGCAGTCCTAACGGATATAGTAAATAACTATAGGAAGATAGTTCAGAACAGCTTGTTCAGAAGTCTTTATGATTTCCTTAGAATAAATTGCTAGAAGCAGAACTACTGGATCAAAGTATTTGAATAGTTTTAAAGCTGTTGATGCTTACTGTTAAAATTGCTTTCTGGAGAGGCTACCTAAAATTCATTCATGACCATTTGTGAGAGCCCATTTCCCCTCCGCCATAACTGCACCAGCCTTGGACTGGCACCAGCCTTTTTAATTGTTATCAACTTGATGTATTGAAAATGGTATTTAATAGTACAAATTAATTTTATTTGCTGTGCCAGGGAGGCTAACCACTAAACTTTTTTATACATTCATAGACTATTTTATGGGTTTTTTTTTTTTTATTTGCTTTTTGTTCATTTCCCATTCGTTTAGACATATTTTTCTTAATTTTGTAAATTATCTAATCTAGTGATCTTTTGCATTATTTTTGTTGTTGTTTTCTATTCTCCAACTAATGTGTCAAAGAATTATCTATTTAAAAAAAAAAAAAAGAATGATCCCTCAGATGAATTACTGAAGGTACCCTTCCCCACAAAGGCTGAACCTTTGCACCTAGACGAATGGCTTTAGTCAGCAGAGCGAGGGCATGGCTTTAGCCACTTCTGAACCTTAGCCAGGCTTTATGCAGCACACAGCATCGTCAACTGTACTTCCTTATGTGTACACCCAGCCTTTCTGTCTCCTCTGTTCCAGATGTCCCTGGCATATACTTTGCCCCAAGGTCAGTTTTTATGTCCTGCAAAGCAAAGCAAAGCGAACAAACAAAAACTGCTGCATCCAGAAAAATCCTGAATACCTTATACTTGTCGTTTATGGCCATTTGCATGATTTTTTTTTTTCCTTCTTCACTTTCCCATTGTTCTTTTCTTGAAATTTTCTCCTGATTACCATATTCTTCTCCCTTCTTTTCAACTTGTAAACTTCTTTCTCTTTTTAGAGTATAAGCATGAAGGTAGACACAGTTTCTTAGTCATCTTTATATCCTCTCATAACCTAGTGGAGTACCTCACATGTAAAAGTCCATATTCAGTGTATGTTCAATAATCAACCTTCCGTGATCCCTAGTGTGCCTTTTCTCCAGCGATGGACACTGTCTCTTTACCATCCAGATAGAGGCAGTATGAGGGCAGTGGTGGTTCTTTGGTGGAATTCTCACCTTCTGTGTGGGAGACCCAGGTTCAGTTCCTGGCCAGTGCTTCTCAAGCATCAGTACCACTTGCCTGTCAGTGGAGGTTTGCTAAACAGGATTCAGTGGATTTTCCAGACTAAGAGAGAGTAGGAAGAAAGTCCTGGCAATCTAGTCTGAAAAATCAGCCAGTGAAAACACAACAGTCCAGTCCTATTGTGCGTGGGAGGCTGATTGCACAGCAGTCAACAACAACAGAGTCAATAGCATTCAGTGGGTGAGCACGTGGCCTTTTAGAGTCAGGCTGCTGCTACTTTCTGTGCAACTTTAAGAAGTTGCCCAGCCTCTGAGCCTGCTATAAATGAGGCCAACAATCATACCTATGTCAGAAGCTGACTGTGAGAATTAAATGAGTTAATTCCGTGTGAAATGCATGACACATGGAAAGGTACACTCCAGTGACAACTGCTGTCTAGAGCTTGTTGCTGCCATCACCTAGGTCACCAGCAGCAAGGCCAAAGCAAAAGGTGCAGGTCTAAGTCTGACTACCCTGAGACCTGTTCTGTTGTGTTTTGTTTTTTAAACTAAATCAGTCTTTTTCATTACAAGTAATTACTTCCTGGCTTAATAAAATTGAATATATTCAGCCATTTCTTACTGAAGTGATAAATTCCCCATGTGAACTTAAATGCTGAGCTTACCTGTTCCTCATTAGGTTGTATCTGTCATGTCTGAAAAACTTTCATTGTTCCTCTGCAGATATGGTGTTGGTCCTGCCACAATGGATGTGCTCTTTTGAAAATGTCAGCACTGCCCAAAGAACAAGATGATGGCCTTTTACAAATCCAAAAAAGCTTCTTGGATGGGTCTGTAATTTAGTTCTATATTTTGCTATTGTTCAGTTTGGTTTTTCTTATTTTCCAAGAAGCAGGGAACAGTTCTTTGTAGTATGTCCATTTCTGTTTACCTGCTGACAGTTTAGTGCTAGGAAAATAAAATTTATAGTGATTACTTTAAATTATTTTGAAAAGGGTAAGTGTAACCTGATCATTAGAATGTTAACTCCACTGTTGTTAGAGATGCACATTGAAGTATTTAGGGATGAAAAGACATGATGTCTGTAATGTTAACAGTTTTGAAATCTAGGGCATGGTATATTATAGTGTGCTCTTCTACTTTTTTTCTAAAAATGAAAGTAAATGAATTAAAAGTGAGTCCAGAAGTAGACCCTGGAGTTGTATTGCCTTGGTTCAAATTGTGGCTCTATCGGTTTATAAGGCGCTCTGGTGGTATAGTGGGTATGGCATTTGGCTGCTAACCAGAAGGTCAGCTGTTCAAACTCAACAGCTGCTCCGCGGGAGGAAGATGAGGCAGTCTCCTTCTATAAAGATTTACAGCCTTGGAAACTCAGTGGGGGTCGCTGTGAGATGGAATCAACTCAATGGTAGTGAGTTTATCAGTTTATAAACTTCATAATCTTGAACAGATGGTTAAGCTCTGTGGGACCTCCATCTCCACCTTTGTTGACTGAGAATGGCAGTCCTGTGCTAGTTACCTCGTCGGTGAGGATTAAGTGGGAGAAGACCTGAAGAGGTCTTAACACAAATCTTGATACACAGTCAGGAAAAATTATCTACTTTTAATTCATGTTTGCTTTTCTAATCTGTGGTTATTTTCTGATACCCAGAATTTACAAGACCATCCACAGGCCACCCTATGAACTTGTTAAAACTGAAGACCTGTCAAGCAACTTCCTATCCCTGCAGGAAATCCAGACTGCATATGCTAAATTTAAACAGCTGTTTCTGATAGGTGAGAAGAATGCTGAGCAAAACTTTCTGTCAAATGGGGGAAGACATGCCACATGTATCAGGTGAAAGTTGGTGCCTTTTTCCTGGGTTCCTTGTGGTTAGTACACAGATGCGCAGTCATGAGGGTCAGTTCATCGGGGTACAGGTCCAGCAGCTGAGGTTCAGCTGCCATTGCCACACACCTCTCCATTTTTCTCCAGGCCTTTACCCCACTGAGACAGTACCCATAGAGCCACTCCTCCCCCTCCTTTCCCTGGCACACCAGTTGCCTGGTGCTGCGCATATTGGCTTCTTCTAAAAGTTGAACTATGCAGTATCTGTGTTCACTAACTATTCATAGTGGTTTATAAAGCTTGAATAATCTGTTTGTTTTCTTTAGTATTGTATTGAATGGACTTTATTTTTTTCTTAAGAGGAAATTTCTTAATTTTTTTCTGATTGAATATACACACACACACACACACACACAAATATATTTTACAGTGTAAAAAAATTCAATTAATCAGAAATGTACAAGGTAGAAAATGAAAGACGCATATCCCGACCATCCTTATTTCCCTGACCAGGCTGCCCGGTTAACAGTGTAGACCTTGAATCCTGTGTAATCACGCACAGTTACCTATTGATTGTCTTCATTCATGAATGAGTCTTTATCCTCTGAGATTTGTCACAGTATAGGTACCTTTTCCTAACTTGGACCTTTTAGCATAAGAATTTCTTCATTTATTCATTCGGCCAGTGTTTATTGACTTTCCATCATATATACTAACTATGCTAGGCATCGGTGATAGAGATGAATAGGACACCAAAAGCTCGGAAAACAGAAAGGCACACCTCTAACTAAAGCACGTTGTGATACATTTTATAAAGTAGGTTTGTATAACTAGGGATTTGGAGGAGAGAGCAATTAATTTTACTAATTGATGTAGGACTGTGGTTCTCCGCTTGTTGTTTTCAGTCGTTCTGGATTTATGGTTATTGAGTTGAGTTAATAATTTATAAATGTATTACATGTCTAGAAATATAAGGTCTGTATTTTACAAAACATGTAGAGGGAATTGTGTAGTTGTGTTTAAGATTCTTGTACTTGTGTATGTTGTATTCTAACTAAATCCAGTCTTAACCCTTCAGCTACCATGGCGTCAGGCTGTATCCTGTTCCATTTTCCACTTGTAGGAATAGCAGCCTGGATGTTGACTATTTCTTCCTCAAACAAATTACTCTTTCTGTTGAATTACTGGGTGACCATGTAATATGTATTATAGGATATTTCTTATTTGAGCAGTAAAGACCTGTTTTGACTGCCACATCCATCTAGGGCCCTAGAGTTCAAAAACTGTATCAGCTGAAGTTTTGAAGTGCCTTTCCTTAGAGTGGAGGCTGATGCCTGGATTCTGCAGTGTGTGTCTAGGACCACTAATTGGAACAGCCGTTTAGCAGTAGTTCTTTGTGGGAGATGTGTCAGTGCACAGTGACTTCTTTACTTTTTTTTTCTCTTTTCAGATAATACTACTGAATTTTGGGACACAGATATAAAATGGTTTTCTCTGTTGGAAAGTAGTGGCTGGCTTGACATAGTCAGGTATTTCATTCTTTCACTCATGATTTTTATCATTGTAATTCAGTATAGTGAAACAAAGTGGCAAATAATTTAACCATTTTCTGTTTCACAGTTATATATTCTAAGATCACATATTCTATTCAGAGCTTGGCTAGATTTTACATTTGTTCATTATTTCTGTGCTCATTTGTTAAGAATTTATAGACATGGTACCTGCTTACAAAGAAATTCACTCTGTGGTCTAGTTAACATTGAAAGACTATTAAGAAAGGGGCATGACAAACCAGAATTATAACTGAAGCAGCAGTGCCTGCCTGGAGGAAACTTGCAAATGGGGTAGGAGGGATACTGGCTTGTCATTGGATACCTTTTGCATGTTGCGTCTTACAGGTCTACTACCTGTTAAAAGATTTTTTAAAAAAGTCATGATTAATGGCCAGTAGTCACTTGTGGTTTTGAAGTTAGATTGAGATTCCCAGAGAACAGAATTAGATTCTCTTTCCTGCTTCCTATTTTGAACACCTCCTCTCTTGTAGTTAGATAGAGGACAGGACAATGGAAAGTACAAAGTGGACATGATGACCAGGGTGAGGAAAGAGAGGGACCCTTACTCTGACCCCATCATGATACCCTCTCTCAGGTCAGCAGTGGGTACTGTGAAAAGGAGCCTCAGCCACCTGCTGACTCAGTAAATCAGTATTGAAGGACCTGCCACATGTCCTGTGATTTCAGTGTATAATCACAAGCTGCGATAATTGTAGAAGGAAAGAACCCTTCCCCGAGTGGGTGGTCTGAGAAGGGTAAGCATCGTGCACCAGATGAGGAGCTAGGGGCCAGTGGTGCTGGGGAAGAGAAGGGGGTCACCACTGCAGACAGACCAGCATGGGCAAAGGCCCCTAGCTATAAGTCTGAGACAAGTCAAAGCTGCACAGTGGCAGCAGTTTCAAAGGCACGAACCTTTGAGCAAAGAGAACTCCTAGTCATATTGGGTCTTTTCAGCCACACTGATACACATGGCAGGTCGTCATGAGTCAAACAATGGGGACATACACCACATTCTCCAGGTGGAGCTATCTGTGGGTCTAACTACAGAATTCACCAGAAGACTCAAGTATGAGTTTCCATTATAAATTTCTAGTCTAGAAATTACCTATGAGCATTTTTCATCAATTTTGGGATTTCCTTCTGAAAATTTAAAGTTTTTTATAGGCAGATGTATGTCTCTGAGTATCTGACTAGTGTAAATAGGTATTTGTTTCATTTCTAGAGGATTTTAGCATGGTAAAATAAGTGAGACAGAAAACTAAGATCAATTCGGACTACCTCTAAACTTCTCATTGTTTATGGTACCAACCTCAAGAACTAATGCCCCTTTTTCTTGTCTCTTTCCTGTTTAGACGTTGTCTCAAAAAAGCAATAGAGATTACAGAATATCTGGAAGCACAAAACACGAACGTTCTTCTTTCAGGTGATACATTTAAAGCACAAAAGATGACTTCTTTTTTCATTCACTTGCTATTTGATTTGTATATACACACCACTGTGTCATGGAGATTGTCTCGTAAAGGAGGGAGCTAGTGTAGAAATCCTTTCAGTTCTTTTCTTTGACCTTGGGATCCTTTGCCTTGGATTTCAATGTTACAGTTTAAAAAATAAATTCTTCCTAATGTAGAGTCCATGAAACACCATATAATATGGATGACCTTGGAGGACATTATGCTGAGTGAAATAAGTCAGTCACAGAAGGACAAATTATTGTATTAGTCCACTATTACAAAAAGTCAAGGAAAGGTGTATATATGGAAGGAAACTATTTTTGTTGGTTACCAGGGATGGGGGAGAAGTGAAGGGAAAAATGCTAGATAGGTTAAAAAAATAGAGAGAGACCAAAGATTATTAGTTGTTACCAGAAAGAGGGGGGAAGAGGAAAGGGGAAGCTTTTGTTTGCAGGGCATTGACTTTATACTATTGGTGGTGGAGTATTTTGGAAAAGGATAGCAATAATGGTGGCACAACATGAAAAATGTCCTGAGTGTCCCTGAGCTGTAAATGTGGCAGTTGTTAATGTCTTGGTGTATATGTTTTCACTACAGTAAAAGTAAAAAACAGATAAATAAATTGAAGTAAATAGTTCTTTCACTTGGAACTTGACCTGTTATCAGCCCAAGAAGGAATTATTTGTAATAGGTATCCAGGCTAAAATTTCCTGATATTTTGGATTTTGTTTTATATTAATTCACCTTGGTTAAAGTTAAAATCTTTTGATAATCCCTTTTACATAAAAGCTTCCAGGAAGTGGTGTAATTGTTATCCTTGTATTTTTTTTTATGTGTTTGGCAAGTTCATACTGTTGCTATCTAAACTTGGTGGTCTGAGATTTCCTTCCCCTCAGTGGACATACCCGATATACCTGTTGTTGTTGTTGTTGTTATGTACCGTCAAGTCGGACACGACTCATAGCGACCCTCCTTGGGTTTCCGAGGCAGTATCACTATGGAAGTAGATTGCCCCATCTTCCTTCCGAGGAGTGACTGGTGGGTTTGAACCGCCAGCCTTCTAGTTAGCAGTGACGTGCCTTAGGCACTATGCTACCAGAGCTCCCAGATATACCTGAGGACGGTGATACAAGAGATTCAGAATGTATAGAGCAAGTCTGAACCGCCGTGCAGTTCAAAATAGTTGCTATAATTAGTTAGATCTGAGCTAACTGTTAAGAATATTTTAAATTTCTTATAACCCCATGCTACAAACTAAATAGACAGGCTCATCATTTGTGTATGATCCGGCCCTTACCATGTGGCCCACCTGGATGGCCACGTGCTGACGTGGATTTGCAGTGCTGCCTTTGTTCATTTGGTAGCAAAGATGTATTCAGTACTAGTGTATGCTGGAACCTGTACAAGACAGGCTTAAAGCAGTTCATGTCTCAGTCTGAAAATGTGTCCACTTTTTCATTGGTCCTTGCCTGTTAGGGAATCAAAACCAAACCGACTCATAGTGATCCCTCCTTGGGTTTCCGAGGCAGTATTGCTACAGAAGTAGGTTGCCCAGCCTTCCTTCGGAAGAGTGGCCAGTGAGTTTAACCGCCACCCTTCTGGTTAGCAGTCAAATGCTTTAGGTACTATGCTACCAGAGCTCCCAGGGAATAAAAGAGTTTGGCTTATTGTTAACTGAAGGTGAGAGCGCTATTTGCAGTTTTTTGACGCTCTGTCCCCTTCTTCCTCTGCACTGCTGCCGGCCCTGCCCCAGAGGAGAACGCCTCCGACCTCTGCTGCCTCGTCTCCTCTCTGGTGCAAGTGATGATGGATCCCCACTGTCGAACCAGGTTTGGCTTCCAGAGCCTCATCCAAAAGGAGTGGGTCATGGGCGGCCACTGCTTCTTGGATCGCTGCAACCACCTACGCCAGAGTGACAAAGAGGAGGTGAGGTGCCCCCTTCAGTCCTGGGAGAACCACTTGCTCTCTCATTGACGACCTGCCTTCAGAGGTGGGGCTGCACACAGTACAGTAGTCTTGGTGGGCAAACCATTGTCACCTCATTGTTGACTCTCAATGCTCTGAGCAATATTGAAACCCTCCCCACAGGAAAGGGATATCAACTAACATGCGTGCTCACTGTCTTCTAACTTGTCATTCATACCAATTGCGCACATTAAGGGTATACATACATTTTGTGGTAAAACCATTACTGATTATGAAATTTAAGTAGAAACTAATTCAGAGAGAGAGACTCCTACAATTTCTGCTAAGTTAGCCTTTGTGAAAAAAGGGGTATTCAGGGTACAGATTTCCTACAGAAAATACATTACATAATGGCACGAAGTAAATTTTGCCTGCACATGAGCCTTTTCAAAATAAAGCGTATGTTATGTTAACTCCATCCATCACCAGAAGTCTTAGAGGTACTGGGGAGTTGGCAGGGCTCACAGCTCCCTTTGCCTTCTGTCTGTGTGAACTGCTCCAGGCCTGGAGCCTTAAGCAGTTTAGTTCCGTTAAGGGAAAATGAGTTCCCAGCATTGTGATGTACTTGTCTAGGCCACAGCTGTTCAAACTCCTTTGGCTTCATTATTAATGATTGTGGAAGAAAAATGAAAGTGGGTAAGCATTCTTCAATTAAATCACCTGTGTGCTGACGTATGCTAGCAGCATGACTTGGGGTTTTTCTAACTCCAGATAATGATAAGCTTGTATGTCTGCTTTGTGCAGCAGAACAGCTTGGCACAGCGTGCTGTGGGGGATACACAGGGCCAGTTCCTGCCTTCAGGTCTTGGCATGTTCCTGGGGTGACCCAGGCATCTCGCCCCAGGCCTGGTAGTTTCTTTCAGGCTGTGTCCCATGGAGCTGAATGGAAATCAACATGTGTTGGAATGGACTTTACCATTCCAAGGATCTAATTTGAGAGGTTGATGGGATTCAGATAGCAGGATGGGTAAAAAGAGCTGATGCTGTGTGGAGAAGTGTGTGCTTTTGTGTGTCTTAAGAAGAGGAGGACTGACAGGGACCGTGTCTGGTGGGGAGAGATTGGAAGAGAAACCCAGCCCATTTCCCTGACTATACACTGAGGTTCAAATATTTTCCACTCTATCTCATGATGTTGAGCATAAAATGAGGTGTGAACTATAGTTTCTGTATAAACATTCTTTCCTAGTGTCTCAACGTCGACATACTTGGATGCTCGCTCTAATTTGTGATATAGTTGGAAGTGGCACTGGACTTTCTGAGTCCAGAGCTGGATTCCCACCTTCTTTCTCTCATGCCCTCTGTGTGAGAACTTGGGCCAGCCTCTCACGTCCTAATGTTCTGTTTCCTCATCTGTAAGGGAGAAGCTGTACCATTGCCTGTCCTACTGCCTGATAGGCTCACTGTGAATCCAGGAGGAGCTGTGGTGGGGATAAGCTGCTTTGTAAATGATAAAGCACCCTAGAAAGCTACTGTCTCTACCAGTGAAGGGCTTTCCTCTGCGTACTGCAAAGGAGGCCCATAGGTTAAACGTAATTACATTTTGGAAAAAATGCTAGTTGTTTCTTCTTCCTTTCTTCTTTTTCTTTTATGAGCCTCACTGTGGCATGTAGTCTAAGTGCTTCTTGTTCTAGCACAGCCTTCAGGACCAGCCCCTGACTATTAGTGTTTAGACAGGTAGTGGGTGGAGTCCCACACACAACACACACACCATTTTTCATTGACAGAATTCAAAATGGCACTCATAATTGAGTATAATTGAGTAGCACAGGTATACTAATGAGAAGAATGGAACTCGTTTTTTTGGAGGATAACATTTCACATAATTGGGGTTCAAAGCTAGTGTTACTGTCATCAAAATTGATTACAAATGCTGCTTTGTTATTGCTGTTCTGTAATGAGATTTTTACCTATTTTTCTTTGAAAATGTCTGTGCACACAAAGGTACCAGATACTGGTACTAATCCATAAGCATGGGATTTCAGTTGAGCATATTCATTACTTGGAATGGGGTGGAGTTTTCAACGTCTGACTTGTGTTCATTGGCCAGCACAGTACTGTGTCCTGGCTACCATAGTGCTCAGATGTTGTTCTTCCATAGCCTTTGAGATGGCTGCCCCTGTGACATCACTGTGGGCGTGCAGGGGGTGTGTGGGCATGCAGGGGGTGTGGGCCACACCAAATGGCACTGTCAGGGTGACACAAAATGACTGTCTATAAAATTTTTATGCAATTTTGCAGAAATTTATCATTTTTTACAAATATATTCCTGTAGTTAGTTATAAAAACAAAAACATTTTTTGTAAGCCCATCTTGCATGTATCAGGCTAAAACTCTGTGCTCATTGACTTTCTGAACCTTCCAGTGCACTCCAGTTAGAGCTGTTGTTATTACCAGTTACAGTGACGCTTTGAATCACGTGGTTTTGTCGACGCACTCTACAAGCTCATGCTACTGTTTTTGTTGCTGCTGGTGGCTTTTTGTTGTTTTGTTTTGTTTTAATGAAGGGGTGAATTTTTTAAGGTCCTTACTACACCATTTCACTAATGTTACTGAGGGTTTTTTTTTTCTTTATTTAGTTGTGATTTGGGTGAAACTTTACAAAACAGTAGTTTGTACACATTTTGGTTCGTGACATTGATTATAATTACCACAATGTAACAGCTTTCTTCCTACTTCCTCCCCATGGTTGCCTTTCCATCACCAGATGCCTTATGCTTTCTTGCTCCCTGAGCTGTCTTCCTGTGCAAATACTACCCTTCTGATTGCTCATGATTGCTTGTTCTAGAGAGTATACCTACCTGTTGTAAACATTCCTCTTATTTGCCTGTCTTTTGTTTGCCTGGAGTGAGTTCAATTCCAGGCCTAAAAGGTGACTAGGAGCCATAGTCTTGGGGATTTCATCAGTCTCTATCAGACCATTAAGCCTGGTCTTTTTTATGATTTTGAGTTTTGTTCCACATTTTTCTCCCATTATATCCAGGATCTCCTGCACTGACCCCTTCCCAAATGGTTAACAGTGGTAGCTGGACACCATCTAGTTCTTCTGGTCTCATGGTCATGTAGGCTGAGGTTTGCATGGTCCACTAGTCCCTTGGACTAATTGTTTCCATGAGTCTTTGGCTTTCTTCATTCTTCTTTGCTCTGGACAAGGAGAGACCAGTTGTTGCATCTAGATAGGGGCTTGCAAGCTTTTGAGATCCCCGTTGCTACTCACCAAAGCAAGATGCAAGATATAGAAAAATGTTTCTGTGCTGCATGTTATGCCAGTTGAGCTTGATGTCCCTCATGACCATGGTCCTGAGCCACAGGTGCAACCACTTGCTTCATCAGGATGTTTGGCTGTGGCCAAGAAGTTACAACTTTGCCCCCTGTTAGTTCTATTTATATGGACATTCTTAACTGCTGCTGGTGTTTTTATAGTCATTGATTTTATCAGGTTTCCTGTGTTTTATCTATAATATTGTAATAATTAGTATTTGTGAACCTATACCAATAACATTTTTGAGAATGAAGTAGTAATTAAAGGAAAAGAAAAATCAGAAAAGACTTCCATTTTGTTGCCAATAATGTAATAATGTTATAATTCACTGTGGAAAGATTTTACAAAATAAGTTAGTATTCATATAACCTAAGAAATAATATATTTAAGCAATTTATACCTATATTTATCACATCTTCAATGAGTAAAATTGATGATAAACATTACTGAGGATTCTGTAGGGTCTAGTACAGAAGGCGGTCCCTGGTGGAGAAGAGGGAGTGACATCATGCATTATTTCACTGAGTGATGTCAACTCTAGTGATGCCTCTGGGTTCCCCCCACCTTCCACCCCCCAAAAAAACAGAATAATTGGGACAGCTCACATTGGGCTGTGTGTCTGCCAAGTAACAAGTTCTCATTTTTGGACAGGTTCCTGTGTTCCTGCTCTTCTTAGACTGTGTGTGGCAGCTGGTGCACCAGCATCCCTCAGCCTTTGAATTCACAGAGACTTACCTGACTGTTTTGTCAGATAGCCTGTACATACCTATTTTTAGCACCTTCTTCTTCAACTCACCTCATCAAAAAGATACAAACATGGTAAGAATTGCTCTTAGGAACCTGCCTATCAAAGCCGTGCCGCACAAGTAGGACGCATGATCTTGATGATTTTGTCAAATTATCTGGTGTTTTATCCACAATATTGTGGTAATGAGTATTTGTGAACCTTAGAACAGGGCCTGGTGTATAATCAGTGTCATAGAAATGACATTTTGCACTGACTGTATATCAGGCCCTGTGTTAAGTGCTTCCTAAGGTTGTAATGATTCACCCTCACAGCACCTGTGGTGAATGTATTATCACAATTCTTGAGGAAGCTGAGGCACAGAGAGGATAAGTAACTTGCCCAGGTTCACAGAGCTAATTAAGTATTGCAGCAAGGGGCAAGCATTGGAGTCAGGCAGTTAAGCAAATTAAAAGGTGTCCTTTTTTATAGCTGCTTCAGACCAAATGTCTTCTCTTCCATTTGCCTGATGCCTGGAGTGATTCTGTGAAGACAGTGAGCAGAGCAGAGCAGGGAAGCTTAGCAAGTCCTTTCCATTTTCAGGCTCTCGATGCTGTGCCCCGGAGGTTTCCCTGTGTGGGTGACTCTCAGGGCTCAGACTGGCCTTCTGCTGCCCGGGCTTTAATGAGCTGGTCCTCCAGCAGGAATTGCAGCAGATGCCACAGTGAAGTGGAGAGGTGGAACCTGGGCTTCCCAGTCAGACAGCTGGTTCCAGATCCCAGCCCTGCCACTCACCAGCTCTGTGAAGTCAGGCAGTTTGCTGAGCCTTAGTTTCCTCAAATGTAAAATTGGAAAAATAGTACAAGGTTCTTGTGACAGTGCCCAGAATGGTGACTGGACTGTAGGCAGCCAAAAAGTAGTAAGTCCTTCTTCTCCCGCTCCTCCCCTTCCCTTTGCTCACCTAAAGCCTTTAGTGACCAATGGCTGACGGCTGCATCCTTTAAAAATGAAGTGCCCATGCCTGTCCAGTCTCAGGGCAGAGCAGGAGCACCCCTCCTGTACCTGTCCTTCAGAATGATGTGTTTGTACTCCCCAGCCTTCCCTGGAAGCCACTGTGACCTGTGCTTGTTTTGGCAGGGTAGGGAAAGCCAGGATACACAAAGCAAGCCTTTGAATCTGCTCACCGTGTGGGATTGGTCTGTCCAGTTTGAACCCAAAGCCCAGATGTTGCTCAAAAACCCTCTCTATGTGGAAAAACCAAAACTGGACAAAAGCCAGCGGAAAGGAACGCGTTTCAAAGTAAGATGCCCACTTGTCTAAGCCTCCTTCATTTGCCCAGAGGTCCCCATGTGTGTACTCCTTGGTGTTACATACGGATTTTGTCTGGCCCAGTGTGCTTTTCCTGCTGAAACAGTCTACAGGGCCGAGAGTTGACTGGCAAATTGTCAGAGCTCCTTAGAAATCTTTTGCTTTTGGCCAATCAGCGTCTGCCCTGGTGGCTGTGTACTTCATTTCACTGAGGATGCTGCTGCCACAGTAGTCAAGCTGAGTGGAATCAGGCATGTCACCCTGTCAGTGGGTGTGGTTAGTAGAACACTCAGTGCATGGTTTTACTTAGTAGATACAAGGAGCTCTGGTAGCGTAGTGCCTAAGGCATTTGACTGCTAACCAGAAGGCTGGCGGTTCAAACCCATCAACCACTCTGTGGAAGAAAGATGTGCCAGTCTACTCTAAAGATTTACTGCCTCTGACACAGCATAAACTGGGGTTGCTATGAGTCGGGATTGACTTGATGGCAGTGGGTTTGGGTTTTTTTGTTTTGTTTTGTTTACTCAGTAGGTACAGGTTCACGTCATTGAACAGCATGATTCTTTTTCCAGACAAACCAAACCAAACTTACTGCCATCAGGTCGATTCTGACTCATAGTGACCCCTCCTTGGGTTTCTGAGGCAGTATCTCTATGGAAATAGATCGTCCAGTTGTCCTTCCACAGGGTGACTGTGGGTTTGAACCGCCAACCTTCTGGCTAGCAGTCAAATGCCTTAGGCATTTTGCCACTTCTTAATTAGATATAATTAGAAAGCACAGGTCAGCAAGCTTTGTCTGTAGTGGGCCATATGGTCTCCTCAGAGCTACTTCACTCTACTGCTGTAGCCCTGAAGTAGTCACAGGCACCGTTAGTCAGTGAGCATGGCTGAGTTCCAATAAAACTTTATTTACAAAAACCGGCACCAGGCCAGATTTGGCCCATGGGCTGCAGTTTACTAGCCTGGGCTGTAAACCACAGATGTCAAAAAGTTATTTGGGTTTCCCTTCACATATTTGTTCCTGATTTTACTGGCTGTTAAAACCTACACTTCTCTACATGATAAATTATTCAAATGGCGTTTCCTAGCTCTGTCTCCTGACTGGAGTTTCTTCCTCACAGGCCCCACAAACTGGGGGGAGCAGTGTGGTCAATCCCAAGTCTGTGTGTGTCCCTGCCTTCGCCACCTTGCCTTGCTTCTGTCTGCCTGCACTTGTGGAGTTCCAGGGAGCCTGGCTGTTTCTGGGGTGGAAATTAGTTCCGTCCTAAAGTGGACTGGGAAGTGGGTGAGCCAAAGCCAGTGCATAGAAGATGTGAGCTGCAGAACAGCTCAGAACTGCCACTTGGACCTTTCAGGGGTCGTCAGGCCTGGAATGGAGGTTTCTGGTTCAACGTCTTTTTCTCCCAGTTTGGCCAGAATTGCCCTGGCTCCTGACAGCTTGGCCAGAGCTCAGATTTTTCTTCAGTGTGTGTGCCCCCTGCTGGCTGCACGTGCCCATCTCGTGATCCCTGCATTAGGCTCGCAGAACTGCTCCTGCAGAGTGGCAGGGGTCCTCAGAGACTGAGGCTCTGCCCTCTGAGACTGGGTTTCATTTCTAGCCCCAGATCTGGTTTTCCTAAGTGTGTCTTATCCTTGTAGGTGGGGCACGTGATTTAGGCTGCAAGAGCAGACTGGTGGGAGATGTTGGAGCTGAAGGGCTGGGAAACTTCAGATTGCACTTGATAAGGGTGGAGTAGGGGTTGGGACAACAAGGAGCTTTAAAGCATTTGGGTAAGATGAGCAGATGTCAGGTTAGGGCACCATGATGAGTGGATAGATGGCCTGGGAGAAGTTCGTAGAGACTGCGGAAGCTGTGGGTGAGCAGCAGGAAATGCTTGAATTGCATGTGAACAGTCTGGATTCTGCGCAGGCATACAGTCTTAGGTGTAGCCTCTGGCTTGATCAGGCTTTGGGCACATCGTTCTCCTCCCACCTTGGTCCACCTCGAACATTCCATTCACTTAGGAGTTCCTTACAAGACTCAGAGAATGGGACTGGAGCCAGGCAGGTTTGAAACCATCTTTCGCACACTGTGCCTTAGTTTCCTCCTTTGTAAGATGGGTTGTTTGAGAATTAGTGAGCACTTGGTAATGGGCAGTTTTCATCTGCATTCTGTTCCTCCCACCCTGCCTGATACAGCTTCATCACTATGGAGAAGAGAGGCCAGCTGGCTCCCGGCCTTTGTCTCTCCTGTCCCAGGATGGAGAGTCAGAAATTCTGATTTCTGAGTCAGAGTATTGGGGATGACTTTGCTTTTCTCCTTTTGCTTTGTTACTCCATATTCTATAATGGGAAAATATTTCTTTTATAGTAGAGTCCTTTTTTAAAGAAGGAAGAACTGCTGGCAGAAATAGAGTTACAAGGCTAGCTTGTAAAAATACTTATCTACTCTCAGTTTACACGAACATCTCAGGAGCAAAAGAGTTGGAGAGAAGTAACTTCTCCCCACATGTTTTACCTTCTCCTTTGGGTACTAGGGAACCCTCCTCACCTCTGGCCACTTTATTCATCTTTACAGCCTGTTCGTAGTGCACCCCAAAATATAAGCATTGCTTTTGCTGCAGACAGAACTACTCAGGGGAAGGAATGTCAGTGCCTTCACATGTTCTGCTCCATCAGGCTGTCAGACAAGGACATCTGGCCAACCTAGCTGATTCCTCGCGTTCCTTTTGCTCCCATCAGCCTCTGTTCTCTTTGCCCAAAAGAATCTTTATATCTTAGGTGTAACCTTCCACTGGGTGCCTGATAATCTGCTAAGTTATTTCATTATAATGATAGAATCTTCAGGTAGTCATCGCTGCTTCCTCACAGGCATTTACAATGTCACAGAAGCCAACAGCCCTAAAATTCTCCAAAGAAAAAATGTTTTACTTCCTTCCAAAAATTATTACTACCATCCCCAAACTCCCCTGAGCCATCAGCCTGTCTGAAGTTAAACTTATTCTTCAAAAGTACTTTGTATTTTTATACCCCTGTTACAGGAGAGAAAGGAGCTCTGGTGGCCCTATGGGAAGGCATTCAGCTGCTAACCAAAATGTCAGCAGTTCAAACCCACCAGCGTCTCCACAGGACAAAGATGAGGCAGTCTGCTCCCATAAAGATTTTCAGCCATGGAAACCCTTTGGGGGTTGCTATGAGTTGGAATGGACTCGGTGGCAATGGGTTTGGTTTGGTCTTATTACAGGGGAAAGGGAGCCCTGACGGTGTAGTGGTTAAGTACTCAGCTGCTGACCAAAAGGCTGGGGTTTGAACGCACTCCCGCTCTATTGGGAAAAGATGTGATCGTCTGCTTCCATAAAGGTTACTGCCTTGAAAGTCCTGTGGGGAAGTTCTGCTTGTCCTACAGGGTCACTGTGAGTCAGTGTTAACTCAATAGCGATGGGTTTGCTTTGGTTTTTAGTATTACAGGGGAGAGTCCCTGGGTGACACAGATGGTCGAGTGCTCGACTGCTAGCTGAAAAGCCAGCGGTTGGAATCCACGCAGAGGCATCTTGGTAAATAGTCCTGGTGTTCTGCTTCTGAAAGGTCACTCAGCACACGTGGGGTCACCATGAGTTGGAGGTGACTCATCTACCGTTGTTCGGTATAAGTACTATTACAGGGAGTGGAGTATTAAGAGCTTTAGTCTTTGTGTCACGCATGTCTCTCTGCAAGTTCCCATGTGTACCTGGGTCCACCTGTTTGTTTACGAATACATCTGCATCATATGAATAAACGAGGAAGTCCCCTTCCCCTGTGTATGCTGTAGCGTTGTAATTTATTTGCATTCACGTGTCTATTCCGATGTCTCCTGAAACTTGTTAAAACGGTTATGCCCTTTTTTCAGTGCAACAACTATAACTGTTCCTCTTCTGCTAAAAGAGATTTTTCTTTGTGTTTTCTCTCACAGCATCAACGACAACTGTCTTTGCCGCTCACCCAGTCAAAATCATCTCCCAAAAGAGGATTTTTCAGGGAAGAAACAGATCATTTAATTAAAAACCTTCTGGGCAAGCGAATTAGCAAACTTATTAATTCTTCTGATGAGCTTCAAGACAACTTTCGAGAGTTCTATGACAACTGGCATAGCAAACCGACTGACTACCATGGTTTGTTGTTGCCTCACATAGAAGGACCAGAAATCAAAGTCTGGGCTCAGAGGTACTTGCGTTGGATTCCAGAAGCCCAGATCCTGGGTGGTGGCAGAGTGGCCACTGTGAGCAAACTCTTGGAAATGATGGAGGAAGTGCAGAGCCTGCAGGAGAAGATTGACGAGAGACGGCACAGCCAGGCGGCCCCCCAGGCAGGGGCCCCTTCCTTGCTGAGGAATTCCACCCGCCTGTCCTCTCTGTTTCCTTTCGCTTTGCTCCAGCGGCCTTCCTCTAAGCCGGTCTTGCCTACCAGTGCTTGGAAAGCTTTAGGAGATGAAGACGATCTGGCCAAACGTGAAGACGAGTTTGTGGATCTAGGAGATGTGTGACTGGTTTTTTCTGTTACTGTGGAAAAGGGGAGTTGAAGATTAGGACGGGAATCGAACACTTTGGTCTCTGGGTCGTGTCATGCTGAAGCTTCGTTCTGGGAGAGTCATTGGCTGGTGCTGGAGTAAACCTGGGCCTTCAGGAAAAGAGCTGGTTCTCATTTTTCTTCATGATCATTAAAGACTATGCAGTTAAAACCATATGGCTAGTATTAATAATTGAGAGGAATTATTACTTGACCCATAATAGTATTGTGGCCATTTTCTGATGCATAAGTGTTACACAGAGACTGAAATGGCTGGTTTACTACAAAAAAGGGCTTTGTAAGATGTTCTTGAACTTGATACTTTCTTCAGATGCTTTCTGTGCCAAGAAAATTTATCTGATTATTGGGAATAATTATAAGTTTCTCTATATCCCTTCTCAGTTAGAAGCAAGTTCAGCTTCACATGAAACTTGTATGGTGAATTGAATGATTCCAATAGAGGCATTAGGATGTATGGTATTTGTGTAAAGAAAGTACTCGTGGCATTTTTCCTGTCTCCATCTACTTGCCTGTAGGATAGCTGGGGAATGTCTACCTGTGTAGAAATATTCTAGTGTCAGACCCTCCTTCCTAGACGGTGTCATGTCATGTGTGAGCAGGGCGCTAGCCAACCACATGGCCTGTTGCCAAGTGCTGACAGCTCCAGGGCTTTCCCTTCCATGCCTTCCATGCCCCCTGCCTTGGTGCACACAGTCCCGGTTTCTTGCTGCTAAACCTCTTGTTCTACTGGGGGAATCTCTTCGGTTTGCCCAAGGGAGCTTTCACTCTCCTGGAGCCTCTTAGTGTTGGAGATGAATCACCTTGCCTTTTTTAATGCACGCGGAGGCTCTGGATCATTTGGGGTGCGGCCCTTTGTAGCAGCCCTGCAGATGGTGTCCTCTCACTGTCTGCTGCCTTTACAGATGCATGAGGTAGGACCACTTTTGAATGTGGCTTTCACAGGAAAGCAGTTAAACATAAACGTCAGAAGTGATGATTATCGTACAGTACCTCAGTGACTTAAAAAGCCATAGAAGAAACTTGAGTATGTCTGATAACCTTCTTGGATCTGCTGTCTAAATGATAGATATTTTTTAATGCAGGAAAGCACACTTTTTAAGGACTGGTTTTTTTCATTCTTAATGGAACCCTGTCAAATCCCACAAGAAGAAAGGGGAAAAAAAAAACAAAAACTCATGCTAGACTATTTCCAATGGAATGTTTGCCTTTTATATATATTAGCTCTCCACCATAGATCCCAATTTGAATAGTAAATGTTCAGAAGAACGTTCAGTTGCTTAAGGGAAGTAACAAAATCTTGAAAGTATTGACAAAGCAGGGTTTCTGAGTTTGCACCAAAATCGTTTGGTACATACAGTTGTTTGCTGTTCTCCCGACTCCGTGTTAGCATGTGAGCCAGGTTGGTCTGCTACGAGGACAGATTTGAGGGGAAGGCAGGATTCCTGCATCTGAGGGCCAAACACATGTCACGTCTTGGTTGCCTTAAGCATCTTACTATGAGGTCAGTGTTAAGCTTGTAATAGGGATTTTAAAAACACACTAGTTCTTTAGCTACTTTCACACATGTTCTATGGGCTTTCTTACACTAGCACTAACCTCCACCTCTCTGCCCCATTGCTTCCCAAATACACTATGGAGCTAACTATTTTTGTTACCATATTATAACATAATATTTATACAATAGCCTCTTCAGTCTTAGGATCTTAGTAATTTTCATTCCAAAAATGCCTGGTATGATGCTTTATATTCCACAAAGTATGGTTTAAAGGCACAAGGTCATGACCATTGTCAAAGCAGTTGAATGTGCTTTGAAATATTTTTCTATGATTTTTTTAAATTGCAATAGAAGAAAAAGGAAGCTGTTGTAACATGTAAGGTCATGACAATTTATGTATTTATATTTGAAATCAGATTTCTATCACTTGTATTTGTGTACAGAATTCTCAAGGGGTTTATATATTATGAAATTTTTATTCAAGATTGAGATCTGGGTTATGCTTAGCAGTAAAAGCTGAAAAGAGACCATTGACTTTGTTTAAAATGCTGCACTGTGCAAGTTTGAAAATGTATGTTAATTTACTGTATATAATATTGTGAGTTTGTTTATACCTCCAGGTTTTTACACTGAAGATAAACTAGCTTTAATTAAATTCAAAACTCCCCCCCCCCCCGCCCCAAGGGAATAAGCTGTTGGGCTCAATCTGTATAAATGTGCTTTTTATTTTCTGGATGTACAACAAAAGTTTATACCTGTATCTCACTGCATCAAATCTGATTGCAGAAATTAAAGCACAATTTAAAAGCAGTACTATATTTGGTGTGTTTGGTGTAACACACGAGTCATTGCTTTCATTCCTTCAGAGATGCTTTTAAGCGTTTACGAGGTACCAGAGGGCCTGAGTGGTCCAAGCAGTTAAACGCTTAACTACTGAAAGGTTGGCAGTTCAAACCCAGAGGTCCCTCAGAAGAAAGGCTTGGCAAACTGCTTCCCAAAGATGACAGACATGAAAACCCAACAGGGTTCAGTCCCTCTCTGCGCACGTGAGGTCGCCATGAGTTGGAATCGACTTGAAAGCAGCTGGTCTGTTTTTGGTTTACTGGGTGCCGGGCAGCGACCAGGGAGCAGGAGGTGCAACAGCAGTGAGTCGCTCTAGTCTCTGTGCTCTTGGAATCTGCACTCTTTGGGGGGGGTTCAGTTGTAAGAAGAGGACAGATAACCAAATAAATAAATTTTAGGAGGTAATAAAGTTATCTGAAGAAACAGAAAATAGGGTGGGAGGTCCTATTAGGTGACTGAAGGAAAGGGGTCTTAAAAATTCCAGCAATTAAATCTTGCTGCCTCTCTTCTTTTTTATGGACATGTATAAAATTAGAACTTTATTTCATTACTGGAAGAGATCTGAGTTCATTTAAACCATGAGAGAGAGAAAAGGCTTTGTTTTTCCTTGCAGAGAAGATAAGCAAGTGAGAAGATTTATGAATGGCACTTTTTTCTGATTGATTTTGTGTAATACAGATTACAAGGCATCAGTTGTCTTTGTTCTGAGAAGTTCCATTTATTTGACCTTTCTTATTCTGCAGCCCTTTTCCTTCCCTGAGGAGAGGAGGCTGCCCACTTCTCTGCTGTTCCCGCATCCCTTCCGATCTATTCTGGTCCACCTTGTGTCCAGAAAGGCATCCCTGGAATTCAGTGAGTCCTCATTGGTACCGCACCTAACAACAACAAACATTGGTACCACCTTTTCAGGTGTGTTAATTCTTTGATGTTTTTGTTAAATCTCCAAGTAGTAGTCCTGACCCTGGGGTCTAGTAGCTTCTTATCTTATTTGCCACCTTTGTTTAGCTCTTGGACTTTCTGTGGGCTCACTTGTCTCCCCCACTTGATTTTGCTTGTTCTTTGGTTTCCAGGTGAAGGCCCATCTTCCTCGTTTAATGGGGTGGGGGAGATTCATGGGGAGTAAAGAGTGGGGCATTTTCCCTTTAATGTGACTTGGGGACAAAGAATGTTTCTGATGAGAAGAGACTCCTGGCCCCTGGCCCTTCGTGTCATCTCCTGTCTCCTAAGGAGTTGGGCAGGCAAGCCAGAACTGACATCTGTTTTTGGAGCACCTCCCATGGTTGTGGTCAAAGTTGCTTAACAAGGAAAAAGTCTCTTTAACTGTGGGTTATGCCCTACTGTGGCCTTAGAGTATTTATAAAGTCGTCCCTGGAGCAGGACAAATTGGGACTGAACACCCAGGATCCCCCGTCCTGCTGCAGTGACAACATCTAGAGACATACAGGCTTACCATGGTGACTTTCCACATAAGCTCTCCAAACACCTTGGCTGACAGACACACACAATGCAGCCTTTAAAAATAACTAGCTTGACATGGGATAGGATGACGTTAGTGGCATGGGTTCCAGTACAACTAGGGATATGCCCCAGTGCTTATTGTGAATATGTTGATAACCAGGTCAGCCATGGCTAACACACCTGTCAGTGAGTTGGCCTACGCACAACAAAACAAAATACTTCCCGATTTGGCATATTCCCTGTGATCAGTTCCTTATCATGCTCAGTTCCTGATCAGACCATTGTGATACACAGGTTCTCACTGGCTGATTTTCAGAAGTAGGTCACCAGAGCTTTCGTCCTGGTCTACTTTAGTCTAGAAGCTCCACAGAAACCTATTTACCATCACCGCACCATGCAAGCCTCACCTGATGGACAAGTGGTCGCTTTACAGGAGGTGCATTGGCTAGGAATCAAACCAGGGTCCTCCCGCAAGAGTCTACCACTGAACCACCATATATATATATATCTTTATACATATATAAAGAGAGAGAAATTTATCTTAGGAAAATGGCTCACAAACGTATAGAAGCTGGCAAGTCCAAAGTCCCTGGATCAAACGTCAAGCTGGAATCTTTCCCTGGCTCCTGCAACAGCAGGGGCCGAGAAGCTCAAGGCTGACAGGCAGTACCCCGGCTGTTGACTCCAATGAATGTCGAATCCAAGATCTCCAGGCCGAACAGTGGACTGCTCACTCATGGACAGTTGTAGGCAGCACAACACAATCCCGATCCACAGAAGAATGTCTCTCTTCCCAGTATGTCCCTGGATATCCTGGAAGCAGGACATACCCCTAGGGAAACTTCCCTTGAATAGACTGGCTCAGAACACAGTCATCTGATCCCATCTTGGGAACAACCACACAGAACTGGGGTCCAGCCAAGTTGACACACAGCCTGGAACAACAAGTCCCACAGCAACTCTATTTTGAAGAGACTGGAGTGATTGAAGCTGTAATATTGGTCCTTACTTCAAATTCCTGAATCCCTGCCGACCTACAGACATGAATAAGGATATGCAGTTTGTTGTTTTCTACTGTATTTTGGTATAGTTTGTTATGCAGTATTTTGGTGAAATAGCTGACTGATACACTATCCTTTCCACATTGATTTGTTACCCCTTTCCTAGTCAACCTCTCTAGCCAAGATGTTGCTACAGTATTGTACTCTGGTCATGTTGTCAGGAGGGACCAGTCCCTGGATAAGGACATCATGCTTGGTAAAGTGGAGGGTCAGCAAAAAAGAGGAAAACCCTTTATGGATTGA